CATTGTCAAGAGAATGGAAATTTGTTAAGAGTCATCCTAAAGAATTGATTTTAGGTAAACTAAGTGAGGGTGTTAGAACTAGGCATGGTCTTAATAAAGAAGTGAACCACTCAGCATTTATATCAATGATTGAGCCCACTAATATAAATCAAGCAATTTTTAATAAATTTTGAATTTTGGCCATGTAAGAAAAATTGAATCAATTTGTTAAAAATAATGTTTGGGAATTGATTGAAAGGCTTAAAGATCAAAGTGTTGTTTAAACTAAGTGGGTGTTCAAAAATAAAATGAATGATTCATGTGTAGTGGTTAGAAATAAGGCAATATTGGTGGCTAAGGATTATAATGAAATAGAAGGAATTGAGTTTGAAGAAACTTTTACCCCTGTTGCCAGACTTGAAGCGATAAGGGTGTTACTAGTATTTACCTATTTTAAAGGTTTTAACTTATAACAAATGGATGTTAAGAGTATCTTTCTTAATGGGATGATATAAGAGGATGTTTATGTTGAGTAATTTCTAGGTTTTAAAAATTCAAAATTCTCTAATCACATGTTTAATTAAAAAAGGTATTATATGGATTAAAAGAGACACCTAGGGCTTCATATGAGAGGCTATACACTTTCCTACTAAAAAGGTCATTTGTTAAAGAAAGTGTGGACAACACTCACTTCTTAAAAGGATAGGAGATGACATACTCAATATTTAAATATATGTTAATGATATCTTCTTTGGATTCACCAATAAAAATCTTTATGATGATTTTTAAAGAATTATGAATAGTGAATTTGAAATGAGTTTGATGGGATACTTTCTTGGTTTTAGTATAAAGTAGAATGAGGATAGAATATTTCTTAATCAATCAAAATATATTAAGGACATCCTCAATAAATATGAAATGAATAATGTTAAACTAGTGAGTACACTAATGAGTTCCTCAATACAGTTAGATAAGGACTATAAAGAAAAATCTATTAATAAAAAAATTAGAGAAATAATTGGATCATTACTTTACTTAACTGCTAGCAAACAAAATATCATGTTTAGTATTTATTTATGTGCTAGATTTAAGCTGATCTCAAGGAATCACATTTGACTGCTATTAAAAGAATTCTGAGATATTTCTTGGGAACTCAAAACTTAGGGATTTAGTATCATAATCACATATCTTCTTTTGAAATCATTGGATATTCTAATTTAGATTTTACAGCATATAAGGTTGATTGAAAAAGTACTTTTAGAACTTATCAATTCATAAAAAACTCTTTGGTTTCTTGGTCTAGTAAAAATAGAATTTAGAAGCCCTTTCTACTTCTGAACCAGAATATATTGCCTTAGGTAGTTGTGTGGCACAAGTTCTTTGGTTAAAATAATAACTAATTGATTTAGGGTTTTTTATTGACACAATTCTAATTTTCTATGAAAATACAAGTGTCATGTGCATTTCAAAGAATCCTATTCAATATTCTAGAACCAATCATTTATATATAAGGTATCACTTCATTAGAGATCATACGGCTAAAGGAGAAATTAAATTACCCCATATTTCTACTGAGAATCAACTTGCAGATATTTTCACAAAAACACTAGCTTTTGAAATATTTAGCACCTTAAGAACCAAATTAGGTGTGATTGATATTAATGCTTAAAATTGTAATTCTGTAAAATAGATTTATAATGAATTTCATGTATTTTGATGTGTATGGTTTGTTTCTTTATTTATTTTTTAGTGATTGTTTGTTTCTATAGTTTGTGTTTATTTGTTTTTCATTAGTGTTATTTTTATTTTTATTTTTATTATTACATATCATGGATCTTAGGTGATTTGATTTTGAAAAGAGTTTTTATTTATCATGTCTTGAGTTAGTTTTTTTCGTACTGTACGAATCACTTTTAATTTGTATGAATTTTATAGACTGTACATGATATTTTTTTCCTGAGTTGAACAAACAAAAATGAGTTTTTTAAGCCTATTATATTGTATGAAGCCTATCGTACTATACAATCATTTAATTCTTTTTTAGTATGAATGGGGATGTTTTCTAATGTCAATTATTTTTTGAAGATCGTATGTATAAAATCTTATTTCATATGTACGATCTTGTTATCATTTTTCATGTAAACAAACCTTACAGCTATAAATGATCAATATTATTCTGATCATATCAGACAAATAGGTGTTCATCCATACGGTTTTATGAGCAAAAAGCTGTATAAAATGACTCCTTGGGAATGGCAATTTATGAAAAGTCATTTCATTTTTGGCAGTTTTCATTTGTATATACAAAATTTTTTTCGTCCCGTATGATTTTAAAATCATACGTATGACTAAATTTTCATATTGTATGATATATCATTTTTTCTTTAAATTGGAAGGTATTTGATAGTTTTTCTTCACAATCTTCTTCAACCTCAAACCATCTCATATCCTAACTCTAGAAATGGCTAGCAGTAGTAAGCGACCACGAACTTCTAAGGCCTCTTCTTCTCATTCTGGTAGACTCAATAAAAACTTTCTCTCAAAAGATATTGAGGAAGCCTACGGTCATTTCTTTGAAGCTAGGATTACCCCATCTTGTCTCCTAATCCAAAAAGACATTAACTTTCCAGTTATGCCTCTTTTTGCTTCAACTCAATTATGTTTTATCCTTACTCTGATGTATGCCTATCATTATGACACATTCCATTTTATCCTTGTAAACATAAGTGTGAATGAAGATCACACTAGGATGACTTCATATGTCTTTAAGCAGCGAGTAGAAATAACCTAGGAAGATTTAGGCGCCTTCCTACATCTTAATACTGAAGGAGTTAGGGCACACATAATGATCTCTAGATCTGATTTCGACTGGTCTAAAATTAACAAAACTCTTAGAGGTTCTGCTCAAGTAAATCACCTATCTTGTGTATACACCCTAAACCAAAATGCTAGAATCATCTAGCCTCTATTGTGAACTTCTATTATACCTAAAGCTGGTAATAGTATCAACCTAACTCCTTTATTATCTATAGTCACATATCTTATCATGAAAAACTCTCCTATAGACAAAGCTTAACTGATTATAGATAATATCTATAAACTTTCTTATATTAGACTTCCTCATAGTAGGAGAAATGAAAATTTGATTTTAGGACATTTGGTAGCATACATTTTAGAAAAGAAATACAACTTGATTCATCCTGATCCATCTACTCAACTTCCTATTTATTTTGCCAATGCTTTTTTTTTTTACACTTTTCAACCGAGACCAAGAAACTGAAGGAGAAGAATTTGACGTAGAAGGAGCACTTGCTCCTCGACCTGATCAACATTTTTGTCAACAAATGGTCCAGTGTTTTGATAGACTAGAATCTCATTTTAATCAATATTTTGATCAAATTGAGACTCACCTAAACCAGCAGGATGTGAGGTACAATGAAGACATGGGGTGGATTAGAGGACAATTTGACTCTGTCAACACTCAAGTAGCTACGATCCATAACTGCTTTATAATGTTCACCCCTCAGCAACCTCCAAACCAGGGTCCTTCAGGATTTTAGTTGTGAATTTTTTGTTGTATTTATTGTTGTGTTGTTTCTTTTAATCTCATGTGATGGCTTTGCTATGTTGTGTTTTTTTTCCTTTTCTGATATAATGTATTGGTTGTATGTGTTACAAGTATTTAATGAAATGATGTTTTTTTCTAATGTAGATATTATTCTTGTTAAGTTATTTTAAGTTTTTATAGACTAATCAAATGTAGTGATTTATAGAATAAAATCTTAAAATACTTTTCTTTATAAATTAATTTCTTTGTAAAATTTAATTTATCAAAATTTTAAATTAAATTATGGTTAGATATAGATTAGAAGATCATCTTTATGTTCTTACATAAAAATATTATTTAGCTATAATTGTTGCAAAATAGATATCTTTTTTTATTACATTTCTTTTCTAATGTTTATTTTTATTAATTATTGTAATTTATTTTAAGATTTATTAATATTGGAAAGACAAAAAATGTAGAAAGATGTACAAAGCATGCAAGGCTTGAAAAGATGCACAAAATGTGCTAAAAGTTAAAAAAGATGCGCAATGTTCTTCAAAGTGAAAAGAGGCACAAAATGTGCCAAAAATTAAAAAGATACACAATGTCGTCAATTAAAAATTTCATACAGGTCTTTCCTTTATCTTTCTATCTCTTAAACAAATCTATATAATTAGCAATAATCCCCACTATTCAATTATAAACTAATTAATCTTTATTTCCACTACAGGAAAAACGCTGAAAACCGGCGGTTTTTTCCGGCAGTTAGTGTAAAATTACCGGCGGTTTTTTACGTTACCGGCGGTCTAACGGCGGTTTGGTAACCGCCGGTAAAAACGGCATAGGAAACCAATTCCGACGGCTTTTTACCGGCGGTTTATTTTTGCGGCGGTTTTCCGGCGGCCCGTACCGCCGGTGACCACCGGAATTTTAACCGTCGGTCTTTCGGCGGTTCGGCCGTCGGTATTGTAATCGCCGGTTAAAGTACTGGCGGTGTTCCGGCGGTTAAACCTGGCGTCGTCTGGTTCATTAGACCTCCGGACGTTGCCGTTAGACCGCCGGTACCTTACCGGCGGTTGACGGCGGTTATAGCCGTCGGTATTACCGACGGTTTAAACCGTCGTGCGTCCATCGTAGAACCGCCGGTGACCGTCGGTAAGCCGCCGGTATTCACCGGCGGTTTAATAATAACACCGGCGGCTATATCTTACCCGTCCGGTATCGTAGTTTCCGGCGGCTAAACCGCCGGTTAGCCGCCGGAAACCTGTAGCACCTGAAAAAAAAAATTGACAGCATCCCCTCTATTTGAGGGAGGTTCACCCTAAAGTCTAAACCTGCAGAAAAAGCATATATATGTTGGGCAACACGCCGCTATATTCATCACAACCAGAAAATACAAAATTCATCACAACATTACAATCACAAATTCACAAAATAGTTCATGATAATGCTACAATCACCAGTTCAAAAGTTTACAAGTTCTAATTAATACATTCATCAAACATAATAAACATCTAATCATCATCGGTATCCTCACTGTCTGCAGATGGCTGCTCCTGTTGGTCCTTCTTCCTTTGTTTTCCAGCTCTGTAGGATTGCAACTCTGCTTGCATTTCATTCTGAGCCTTCCTCATTTCTTCAATCTCTCTAGCTTGAACCCTTTTCATCTCTTCAATCTCTCTAGTAAGTGCTGCAACCCTCTCACTTACAGATTCTTCAGCTCCACTTGGATCATGGAATGCAGAGGTGTATGAACTGCCCTCAATAGCAAAAGCTTGTGAACCCATGCCATATACCCTCCCCCTCTGTCTTCCACCAACAACTTCTGACCATGTCTGATACTCAGAAGTATGGGCCGATCCAGAAGATGATCCCTCGCCAGTGGACTGCCTACTTTCTCTAACTCGTAAGAAATCATCCTGCAAGTTACAAATAGTTTTATTAAAATAAATTTTTATTCTAAAAATCCAAAAAATTTTACTCACATGAGCCTTCTTAGATTTCTCATCAACCCACTTCTGGTCAGCTTGATGTTGATGAGTTCTTGTATGCAGCTCCAATGGTGTTGGCTCCCGACCCAGGTGCGCTTTCTGAAAATTTGATGCTTAGTTATACTAACATAAATATATGTAATAAACCAATTCAAAACACTTACCAGTCGCCGCCTATGTTCTGTATGAGGTACAGATCCACCAGTATGAAGAGAGCTTCCTAAACCGCCGCAGTCAGAGGCTCTGTTCTGTTTATTCTGCTCTCTCATTTTTATAAACTCCGGGGTAGCCCAAGCACTACTCAAATCTGCCCAAACGCCCTCTCCAATCCAATTAGGCCTCTGCCCGGACTTTCTAATGTCCGTGAACATGTCTCTGAGACGGGTCGCTACTCTCCTTTCAAAATTTGATCTGATCCTCGTATTGTACTCAGGCAACCACCTAAATTCTTTCTGTACAAATTTAGGCAATATCAAAAAGATTAGTACAAATTAAATCATATATTTGAAATCATACAAAAAAAATATACCTGAAATTCTCCAAACCACATATCTCTAACAGGCTTTGGGATCTTCTTCCAGGATAAGTAAGGAGCATCATACTTATTCTTTATTATATCCCGGATCATATGTATAGGTGGCCTTGAAGGATTGAAGCTGCAAGTGACTTTGTTTATCAATAACATGTAATATATCAAAATAAAAACAACTGAATAACTTAAATTGAACTCACTTATCACCGGCGGTTTAGACCGCCGGATAATCGCCGGTTAATGTTGAAATCCGGCGGTGTACCGGCGGTTTAGAGACCATCGGTATTACCGACGGTGTATCGTAGCTAAGCCGTCGATTAAGCCGTCGTTAGAGTCCGACGGCGTAACCGCCGGCGGAGCCGTCGGTAATACCGACGGCCTATAAACCGCCGATTCAAACCGCCGGTATAGGCCATTTTTCCTGTAGTGTTCATCATTTTTACAAAAATTATTTTTATTTGATATGTCTAGAATGAACTGTGGACCGAATTGAATTTTCTTATCTTAATTATTCTTTGATTTAGAATTTGAGACTTTCCTTTTCGCATTAGGATGTTAATGTTGTCTTTGCAAATAGTTTAAAATCTTTTTTTATCATCTATTTGATTTATCAATAGAAACTTATCTTTTCAAGAGATACTTCCCTTTTTATTGTTGTTAAAAGGGGGCTTCGTTAGTTATTGTTTGATGTGTGTATGACTATTTTTCATTAGTTATTATTTGATGTGTGTATGATTTTTTTTGTGTGATTTACATGATATTTGTAATGTGTGTGTTTTTGTGTATGTGTGTTTTTTTTTTTTTTTTTTTTTTTTTTTTTTTTTATTGGAATCCCTTATTTTTAAATTTATCATTCATTAAGGGGAACTTAGAAGAAAAATTGCCTTTAGTGTTAACTAAAATAATAATTATTTTACCATCATAAAAAAGAAAGAGATTATGATAACTTAGATTTTAAGATTAAATTTTATATCAAGTGACTTTTTGATGATACCAAAATATTATTGTTATGATTACTCTTTCTCATAACTTACAATGAATATATTTTCTTTGTGTTGTTTGTGTGTACTAATATTTCAGGAAAATCATACTCTAAACTCTCAAAAACTTTAAGACAGATTAGATCAAGGTTTCTTTTAATGAAGTCTGTAATTTTTTTTATTTTTTTTTAGTTTGAGAGAGTGTAATTGTAATTGAGTAACCATGCATATACACATTGGGAGAGTGAGTCAAATCTTTATATTTTAAAACTAATCATACTGGATGGTTTATCATGGTAGTTCCTCCAAAATGAAGTTAATCAAATCATGCCCAGAAAATTTTTTATAATGTTCATACTGTACGATAATGTTTCATACAGATGACTCATAGAGTATGAAATGGGGATGTACTAGTTCATCCCTAATGAACCCATCATTTTTTGAATTGTTCGTACTATACAAAGAAGAGTTCGTACATACAACTCCAAGAGTATGAAATGGGATCGTCCATATTTGTACCAAACGAAACATGATTTATTTAAACAGTTCATATTATATGATGTATGGTTCATACATACAATTTACAGTGTATGAAATGAGTTCGTACATAATCATACCAGACAAAATAGTTCAATTTTGAACTACTCGTATAATATTGTGTCAGTTCATACAGATAATAGACATAGTAAAAAAATCATGTTCGTATGGGATCGTACATAGATTTTTAAACTATTTATATAGATAAAGTGCAATCATACTGTATGATTTGAGTGCGTTCAAGTTGAAATTTTTAGTTTTCTGAATTATTTTTCATGTCTTGCATATATAAGTGTCCTAAAAACTAACACTCCAATAATATTACTGCAAATTTCTTTTGAGAGTGGATAACGAGAGTGTTTGGGAGAGAGTTTTAGGAGTAAAGAATGAGAGATCTTTTGAGAGAAAATTGTAAGAGGATTCACAAGATTGCTCAAAGGTAAGGATCTCTTATTTATTCTTCAAAATTCTCCCTACTTCCATGAGGTATTTGAGAGAAGAAATTTAAATAAGATCACAGTACTCTGCTGTCACTAGGAGGGTGAGAAAGGATGTTGGTACTCTATCATCACTAGGAGGGTGAGAAAGGATGTTGGTACTTTATCATCACTAAGAGGGTGAGATAGGACATCGGTACTCTATCATCACCAAGAGGGTAAGAAAGGACATTGGTACTCTACTATCACTAGGAGGGTGAGAAAGGACGTCAATACTCTACTGATCTTAGTTGGTGGAAAAGAGGTTTTGTAAGGGCTTCTCCACCTTGTTTTGGAAGAAAAAAAGAGATTCACTTTTAATTTACTTGAATACCTGAAGAAGGAGTCTTCAGGGTGTGGATGTAGGTCTAGTTGGACCAAACTACTATAAAATTTGATGTTCTTCTATTCTTTTACTTTTACTGCATTTTACTTTATTTTATTTTCCATACTTTAAATTATTATGGTTGAAAAATATTTTGAAAAAAATCTATCATTGTGTTAAGTATCTTAAATCGGTTTTCTAAAATCCAAAAGAATTTTTAAATTCCCTCCCCCCCTCTTAGTTTGACTTGGGACAGTTGTATTAGGTTTGATAACCTATTCGAACTTTCAAATTCATGATCATCATAAAAGATATTTTGACCCTAAGTATAGAAAGATTCAATTTGAGGTTAGTTATCACGTATTTCTCAAGGTTTTGCCCATGCATGGAATTATCATATTTGGAAAAGTGTATAGCTTCAGCCCCATTTTATTGGACCATTCAAGGTGATCAAGAGATTCAACAAAGCTTTTTTTATAGATTGGCTCTTCCCTCAAGTATTACATAAGTTCATAATGTCTTTCATGCTTCTCTTTTGCAGTGATATGTGCATAACATTTCTCATATTATTTAAAATAAGCCACTATTCATTTAAGAGCTATGAAGTGGTACAAGAGTGCATTTTGGAACATGATATTTAACATCTTTATCGTTGATCTTTTTACTTTAGTATAGTACTTTGGAAGAACAAGTCAGAACAAAAAGTAACTTAGGAGATTGAAGAGATGATCGCGAAGTGCCTGTAACTGTTCCAGAACTAAGGTATATAATTGAGGACCAAACTCTTTTAAGGGGAGTAATATATTATAATTGGACCAAATTGGTTTAGGTTACCCCATATAGACCCGCACATAGTAGCAACTGAGTGAATAACTAATCATGCCCCTCTTCGCACATAACTCTATTGAACACCCTTGTACGTACATGACCTCTCTCTATCTCAAAGGATGACAATCACATGACTATCCTGCCTTCTCTCATGATTATTTAATACATGAGTCTTCCTCTGGCCATTTAAGTGTAACATAAAACTGAGAGCATCATATTTCCTTACTCCTATAATGCAACAACTGTCAAACCCTTATTTATTGTTTCCTTCTCGTAATAACAATTATTGATGAATGTTTCCCAATCTTTTCTCATTCTACAGTGAGCTTTGTCTGTTTCCTTTTCTCTTTCCTTCTCTTTTTACTCTTCTTATGTTTATAATCAGCTACTTCAAAGTCCTTTCAATTCTATTGTGAGACAAAATTTCATTTGTATTAAGTTTTTAATAGGCTTAAATTTCTTATCATAATAGTTTTAACTTTCTTTTGGAGGATATTTTATTTGACTTTGATGTTCAATTTGATCAAAATTATTATTATGTAAGATTTAAATTTACTAGTAATTTAAGATTATTTATTGAGTTTGTTATAATATTGGCCTCTATAAGGTTCTAATTATTAGGTCGTATGGTATATCGCATTAGTTGATAATTATTTTGGTGTTCATGAAAAGGCTAAGATTGATTTCGATGTCCACACTTAAGTCTCAAAGTGCATATTTAATATTATTTTTCTTGTCATTTCTTGTAAGTCCTTCGAGTCATTTCCCACATAGTTTTGTTGGCATTAATTAGGCTTGGAGTTTCATGTCGCTTGCCAAAAGTTAAGTAACTATTATTTATTTTGGGGTACCCCCCTCCCTTTATTAAAGGCATAATTCATGCTATTTGAAATTAGGCTCTATAATAATTGCTTTGACAAGTTGTCCTGCATTAAATTCTTCAGTATGATTACACACATGTAATAAATATGCTTTGTTGTTTATAATGAAATCAGTATATAATGAAACTAACCCTATCTTGATTTATTGTTCGTTAGTTCTTATTCATTTAACTAAATTCATATGATGGAGACTTTTATTTCTTACAGTTTAGTTTTGTTAAACAAAACTATTATTATTCCTATAAATTATAGTAATTGTATAATTTTATTTGGCATGTTGATTTGTACAATATGTGCGACAATTGATGTCAATAGCATGGGCATGGTGTGCTTGTATGTAATCAGATGACTCTATTAAGGCATATTTAGGTTGCATCTTCCAAAATTAAATTTGGGACCATCCAAACACTAATTTCAATAAACTTATAATCAAAATGAACGTCTCAATAAGACAAAACAACCAAAATCAAAATCAGTCCAATCTAAGCCCAAATGGGCTCAAATCAAGAGCTTAAAGCATATTGGAAAGATTTATAGCATTAATTAGATGACCAAATGATATTCAAATATAGCATACTTATATATGAATTGAGCTGCTCAATGAGATATATTAAATGAACCCATCACAACAACAACAACAACATCAAGCCTTTATCCCACTACGTAGGGTCGGCTACATGAATCCTTTTTCTCCATTTTGTCCTATTAAAAGTCAAATTCTCGTTTAAATCTAATAAAGAAAGGTCATTCCTAATATTTTCTAACCAAGTCTTTTTAGGTCTACCCCTACCTTTCTTAACATAAGTCAAATCTAATACCTCTACT